TTGAAACAGTTTTTCTTCTCCAGTACAAGGACGTCTCATACATTTAACCATTTGTTCACTATTATTGTCTTCCCTGATTTATCTGAAAGATTTTGAAGAGGCAGTATGTGAATGTGTATTTTTCTAAAGGTCTCGCCTTCGGCTTAGTGCCTCATAAGAGGTTTAAATATAGTCAAGATATGCCGTATAAAAATTTTGATTGTTGCAGAGAATTTAATAACACGGTAGCGTTCTTGCTTTAATTGACTTCCCTCTGAAGACGGCATTAATATCAGCTGATATCATTCGAAGCGTTATGTAATATTTACATGGTAAACATTATCCGCAAAGGACTGTGATGAATGCAATCAGTCAGTTTTGATGGCCACCTATCGTTTCGGATCGCGGGGGAAGGGGGGGGCAGATTTTCAGTGCTCCTGATCCTGTGCCAGCATATGAGGTTTGACAGAAGATGACTCGAGTCTGGAGCGGAGTTTGTCGAGAGACTTGCCCCAAGATATTCTTGGCTGTCTTCTGGATGAAAAGCCGATCGATTGAGCAAATTGAAGTTGTTTCGTCTTTCTTTCTGGATGCATTAGAAAAACATGCCCTAACCATCGTAACTGCCTCTTCTCGATCGAAAAAAGCAGCGGCTGACATCAAGGCTTTTTTAGAACATCTGAACAGCGAACCTGTTGACGCGTTAACCCAGCTAATCGTCCCGGTAAACCAATTTCACCCGCTTGTACTCATTAACAAGTTGATGGCCATATTCCTTTGAGCGATTGTGGCAGAAACAAGATTAAATGCATGATTACGGAACCGTTGCACATCACAGTGAATAGACTCGGATCAGATAATGACTTAAACAGCATGTTCGATATGTCGAGCGCAGTAGAACTATTCTCTAGTTTCATTGACACTACATACCTTTGTAACCTCTTTGGAAGAACTAGTTTTCTGTACCTTGAGGATTGCCTGTGTTTTACGGGCGAAACTCTGGACGTAATATGGGTTCTTTAGTCTTGTTTGATTAGGCACAGTTGCGTCCACAACTACTATACTGTAGAAATCATCAGTTTAGGAATATGATTTTGACTGCAAGCTTAAAAAGGCGGATTTCGATCGCTGTCCATAAAGAATCCCAAGGCGATCACACTGTGTCAGTCCGTTTTCTTTCTTGTCCGTAATGGTAGAGAACTGCGTTGCTCAGTTTAGGTCGCAGTTAGAAGCACAGAGGTGTATGAAAGAAGAGTGATTTCTTACTACATGGCAAAAGTTTCAGAAATTTTTCTAAGCCGGTTTCAGGGGTTTTCAACAAACCTTCATAGTGGCCTAGCCTTCAGACGGAACTGGTGCAGATGTCGACTTCCTCATATCTCATCCCATCGTAGTTGGTCTCATTGAGTACCGTTTACCACTTTTCTTTGAAAGTCATTTATCCAATGGTGTCCAGAAAACACAGTTGATACGAAAGGAATACAAAATGCATAATAGAACTTTGTCAGAGAATATATAATACAGCTCAGAGTTTTAAAATAATGTTTTCTACAGGTTCACCCTCGGACCTTCCAAACGACGAAGCGGGCAACTCGTCTTCCCTTGATCTCGCAGTGTGCTACTCTGATTCTGGATTCCACGACCACGGCGAATGGTGGTTCGACAACTGTCGCCACTGTTATTGTGATCGAGGACGCGAGTTCTGCTCCCTGCTCGCCTGTCCGAAGCCGAACTGCACGCACCCGGTGTTCAGCGAGGGCGAATGCTGTCCGCGATGTCCAGGTAAAGTCATTGTTGACCGGTCTCGTCCATCTGTTCGATTATGACCATCGTTTGATTAGGTTCCAAGCAGGACAACAACGCCATCCGACTGGCCTGCCACGCCCCAAGTGACACCCATCACTACGTCGAGGGCGAGTACTGGAACCTCGACTCCTGCGTGACTTGCACTTGCCACGTCGGCTACGTTTTGTGCTACCGCAAAGAGTGTCCCCCGGTTCCTTGCTCCGAACCAAAAATCATCGACGACCAATGCTGTCCCGTCTGCAGTGACAAAGGTAGAAGAACACTTGCGCGTTTGCTGGCGTTTCTAGATCTACGTTTTGGCCGTCGTTGCAGATTTGCACGTTTACACGCCGCCTCAGAACTTGACGTTCTGCACGACGGAGAATGGGGTTTCGCATATGGAAGGCTCGGTGTGGAAAGAGACGCAGTGCATTTCATGCGCGTGTGAAAACGGAAAGATCAACTGCTACGAGGAAGAATGTCTGGACGTACCATGCTACACCCATGTCCTTCATCTGAAGGATTCATGCTGTCCAGTATGTACAGGTAAGCACCTGATCGTGAACCATAACCGTTTCAGAGGAGGATATTGATCAGTATACAATTTCTCTAACATATGTCCTGGATTTTTCTATTATGTTTTACGTTTTAGCCAGTTTTGTCTTGGTTTCTCGGCGTCATTCCATTGTTGCATGAAATGTGTTTGATCAGTGACTTTTAGCCTGTAATGCCATCTATTTGAATTATTGCCCGTGCTCTTCGACGCAAACCAGGGAGAGTTTGAGGTGTTGGCCATTGTTTATCCACAGATATTGCGGATTCAGTTTAACGAACCGTTTAACTAGGCTTTTTGTGTGGCAGTGGTACAGTATGTCTGGAAGCAGCCAGCGTTGAACCCGGGAGATGCTGGTTTTTTAAAGGGTCAACTTTGTTTTAAACCGCAAATTCTCTTCAAAAGGGAATTAACTTCATGTTCCTTCGGCGTAACCATCCAGGGAGCGGATCGTAAGTCCAATCACTTATAAAAGATAGGGATAGCATGGTTTTCTGGTGTGGTCAGACTAGAATGAACGAGATATTCGGCTGTGCTGTTCGATGGGAGTTCTCCTTGTGGTTTCACTGTGCTTAGATCCACCTAACAGCTGACCATTGAGTGTACAAGTCAGCACAGAGTCTATCCGTGATTAAAATTTTTCTCAACGGAATTACCTCATATACTTTATCCCCCCTGCCGGTGGGGTTGTCACGTTTCTCAGCGACAGTCATCAGTTGTAATTTCTCGAAGCAGCGACCTCCTGATCGCCTCCTCTCTTTCAGACAACATGAGGAAGAGCGTTTGTCGTATCAACGACGTGACATACAATGTTGGAGAAACGTGGCGAGAGGGACCCTGTCGCAATTGTACATGCATGAGTAACAGCGAGATACTGTGTTCGCAGCTGGATTGCCGAAAATGCAGCAAGCCGGTCTACGCTGCTGGACAGTGCTGTCCAATCTGTGACGACTACCCGAAAACGTGGCGGTGGCGACCGACACCGTCCTACCCGGAAATAACAGGTGAGCGTCCTCATTACACTGTGAACTATCGATTGCTTGGTTTAAAAGCGAAAGTGTCCGTTTTTCAGGAAGGTACAACGACGCTCAACAAGTGAGCCTGATCCTGGCGCTGTCAATCATCGGCATCCTCGGTCTGCTGCTGCTGCTCGTCTTGCTGACGTTCTGGTTCTTGAAAAGGTTCAGAGCGCCGCCGGTATCGAAGACCGCCGAAGCTCGTCTGACAAGCTTTAAATTCGAGGAGAAGGGCAAAGCTCTTCTGGCGCAGATGAAGACGTCGTCGAACGGCGTGTGCAACGGCCTGGCAATCCACAAGACCAACGGTGGTTTGCTGAACGACGTAGACGGTAGCGTCAACGATTGGGCAAACGATGACGTGTAATTTAGCTAATTAACTCACTCTCTACACCCCATGTTCTTCGTTCTCTCTTTGTGTCTACTCTGCGTACGGTAGATGTCCTCACAGTTGCAACCAACCTGCCGTCCGCTTTGCCCTCGGGACTCAAAAATAAACTATACATAGCTATTGTGACAGTTACTTTACGTAAGGCAAAGCGGTCGATCGGTCAGTGGACTTTGCCCTTTGCCCTCATCGTGGACGGTGTACGCCAGGCCGTTCGCTGCTTGCAACGGCATCGCTCGACGACGACGACGACGGGACAACACTTCTGCGCCAGAGAAGAGTGCGGAAATATTTGCCTAAGAAGACGTTCATTCGTTTAACTGTACAGATCAAACCGTGTTGTATGATTTTTTGTTGCCTGTGTTCGGTGGTGTTTGTGCGTGATGTCGAAATTCCTATCATCTGTGATTTTAAGTACGTGTTTATTAATATTATTTGTACATTGATTATGATATAAGTGACTTGGTTTTGTTTGTAACATCAACGGAAGGTGTGTCCGCACGTTTTGAGAACGGCGCTACTGTACGTGTGGAACCGTACAAACGGAAACGGTGTTGGTTGTAATATTTCGAGTCGATCGTGCGGCTGAACTTTACATATATACGGCGCAGTGTGAACTATCTGCCTGCATTTGCATATTTTTTCTCTACGTCGTTTTCGTCTCGCGTATGTTGCAACACCCTCGTTATTGTCACACCTTTCGCCAGTCATAATAAAATACTGGATGCTGTACGAAGCTAAAGTTCAAGTGTCTTTTGTAATAACTGTTGAGTCCCGGTTTTGATAAGGATGGAAAATTAGGATAGCAAAAATGGAGGAAGTTTGATTATGTGGTATGCCAAAGGTCAGTGTAATACTGGGAGAATTCCGAATCTCCGCTATGAGTTGCAAAAAAATGTGCGAAACCCCTGGAGCCCGCTTTTCGATTGGCCTGTGTTCAAGCCTTTGCAGTGCTGGCGTTGTATTATTGAAGGTTTGTCGATTTATGATAAAGGAACTAACATCTCGTTTCTTCTTTCACTTCATGAACGGTGTTTTAGTTTTTATACAGATTAGATGACATTTC